TTATTATATCTATATTTTTAATTATATTTATTATAAGAAGATAAAAATTTATTAAAAGTGATTTAAATAAAAATATGAAGATATTAAAAATATTAATAAAAAATAATAAATTTATTAAAAATAATAAAACATTATCTTTATCTTGTTTTATGAAACTCGAACTTAAATCTCGAAAAAATTAGAATATAAATTTCTAAATATATTAATTTCTTAATCTCTCTTAAAATGGCAGTTATTATTGCTATTATTAAGTTGTCATTTAGTTGATGACACATGTGCATGACATGACATGACAGTGGTAATAATCACATAACATCACATGGGAAATTAAATGCATTTTGTTAAAGTTTTGTCCTTCTTAAGCCAGGTTTCAGGGTCCCATTGGCTATGAAGAGAATAAGAGTAAGTGAAGCTCCATTGGAATAGTTCACCGTTCATAACCTAACACAACACAATCTTAGAGTGTCTCATTTTTGTCATATACGACCATAGAAACTGTAATAAGGAACAAAAATCCGGTTTTTGGTCCCAAAAAACTTTTATGAATAGGGTCCATTTAAGAATTTGATTTGGTTAATGCATTGGACTAAAAAATAATTTGGGTTGTTATGTTGTACTACTGTTTTGTAGTTGAATTAATTGGGTTTGATATAATAAATATGATATAGTTTCATGCAAATATAAATGTAATAGTACTATTTTTACAGCAACATAATTTTTTGAGAAAATAATTAAAGAGAATAAACAAATAGTTTATTGATAAGTAAAAATAAGTGAAAAAGGGAGAAAACTATTTTGAAAGTGGTATAATTTAGTTAATTTTATAAAAAATAATAAAATAAATAGATAAATAAGTAATAATAAATAAATGAAACAGTATAATGAGGTTCATTATATATTTCTTTTTATAAAGAATTTTTTATATAGAACTAATTTCTTTAAAAACCATTATAAGGTGAAAAGTAAAATTAAATTAGTGTTATAAAAACTTATAAATATTTAAACAAATATTATATATTATTATATATTACAGTATTATTATTATTATTATATCATTATTAGTTTATAATTAAAATAAAAAATATAATTGTTTATATTGTTGTTATTTTCATCCAGAATTAAGGTTAAAAAAATTAATTTATTTTATTTAATAAATATTATTTACGATATTGATTATTGAAAAAATAATTTTTTACAGAAAAATAAAAAAATATTACTATTATTATTTATCCTTAGTATTTCTATTTTATATTTCGAGACGAGAAAATAGACTGTAGGAGAAAATTAAGATCATACATATATTTGTTTGATTTTCAATCAGAGTCTGTAAATTATGTGAAATTATGGTTTCTCTTCAACAAACTTTTCATGACATTTTTTTTATTTCTTTAACTCTCATTTTTTCCTCCAAATAATATATCATTCTTTCTTTCCTCTGATCTCTTTCGTACTGTTGCACTTTTTATGTAAGGAATCCATTTCTGTGGTTAGAATTTAATTTAGGGTCAAAATTAGGGTTTAACAGTTATGCTTTATTCGAAGGAGTGAATTTGAAGAATTGAAAAAAATAATAATTAAATAAATAAAATAGTAAAAAAAATAAATTTAATTATTATATAATAATTTTATTTGTATTTATATATTATTTATTTATTATTATAATATTACAAAATTACAAAATATTATTTGTTTTTTAGATATATTTAATTATGTAATAAGTATTATATAATTGATTATGTCTAATTTAATATATATATATATATATATATATATATATATAAGAATAGAATATTTTTCTTTATTTTAAAAAAATATACTAAAATATATAAAATTATCGACTTTTTTTCATGCCTATAATTTATGTGATTAAAAAAAAACTGAAAAAATAAATAAAGTTATAAAATGAGTGGATAACTTAGAAGGAAAAATGATAAAATGGGAATAAAAAAAATAAGCAATGATGAATTGGATTGGAGTACCCTCTTCCATATTGTAATTGTAATTAATGCGTCAGAGGAAAATCCAACAACACCATATTGTGACTCCAATGCAATCTAAAGTCCCAGACCCAAACATTCAAAAATATTTTTAAAATATTATATTCTTCTTTAAAAAAGTTGTTTTTTATTTTATGAAATTTAATATTATATTAATTATTATTTTATTAGTTATATCTAAAGATAATAAATTATTTAAAATAATTATAGATTGAGAAAATATCAAAATATAAGAATATCAATGAAAATGTTTAATAAATTTATTAAAAATAATATAAATTAATATTTATTTTAAATTGTATAATTCTTTAAATATTATATATTTAAAAATAAATAGAGTAATTTATAAAATAAAAATATCATCATTATAAAATATAAAAAACTAAAGTCATAAATACTTAAAATAACAAGATTTGATGTAATTAATAAATAATTTTATGTCTAAAAATAAATAAAATAAATTTATCTTATTTATAATAATATTTGATATAATAATAATTTCTATATTTTTATTTTGGTGAATTTCTCTAATCTTCTATAAATATTTCTCCGATACTTTCACTAGTACAAAATAGACTTTTAACATCGGTTCCAGGGGTTTTTAACAACCAGATGTAGAAAGTTTAATATTTTTATTTATTTATATATTTTTATTTATTTTATTTATTCTATATTATTATAACTAAATTTTAAAGATTATATTATATTATTAAATTACAAATTCATATAAAGAGACTTGCTCACAAATTTGACATCAAATTTTGAAAACCCACTTGACACACATTTTCATTCTCGAGCGCGCTCTCACATCCAATATATAAATATATAAATATATTTGTATTTATATATTTTATATTTATATATATATATATATATATATATATATATATATATATATTTACATGGATATACATTTTTATTTGTATATAAATATAATATATTTATAAGTTATTATTAGAAAATTCTAGTAGCTCGAGTGATTGGAGTATTAGTATTCGACTCTAAGGTCCTGGGTTCGAATATTGTCGAGAAAGACTTTCTACATCGATGTTGAAAGTCTTAAATTCATTTTCTACGTCACTTATTAAAGAACCAATGTAAAAACACCCACGTTGAAAATGATTTAAAGGCTAGTGTTTTTCTTTACCTCCTAGTTTTCACTCTTTTATCTTATAGATTTTCTTTTTCATTCTCCTATGTTTTCTCAAATGAATCACTGTTACTGTAGTGTATTTGTTTTTATATTTTTTAAAGATCATTGGTTAAGTGATTAAAATCCATCATGTCATGTGTACATTTGCTTGTATGCAATGAATATCACTGCCTAATATTGTATATTAAATTGCATTCAGATTACTGTTCTCTTTTTTTTTCTTAAATCTAAAACTTGGGTTGTTGACATGTCCTGTCATGTTAAAAAAAATGTCATTTTCTTTTTTATAAATTTCATTCCCTTCTACACGCTAAGTATTTTTAAAAGAAAAAAAAATTAGTTAAAACAATTGATAATTTATTTTCCTTATATTTAATTCTAATGTATTATTATGCATTTAAACAAAGATTAAAAAGTCTGTCGTGCTGAGATTACAGATCCAAGTAAAAAAAAAACAATTCAAACTACATAAGATATATTAAAAATTTTAAATCATATTATATTTTACTAAAATTATGATAATATTAAGAGTAAATTTATAACAATATTAAAAGTTCTATTTGTGTAGTAGTAGAATTTATTTTATTTTTATTCATGTAATAGAAATATAATTTTTATAAATATTTTAATAATATTGATGTGAGCAAGTTAATATATATTTTTTGCATTAGTTTGATTAATAATATAATATTAGAATTATAAAACATGTAAATGCAATACAATTATGTAAATTTATATATTAAATTTAAAAACATTAGTTGATATAAATGGCAGTAAGTTGATTTTTTAACTAAACACATTTAAGGATTTTTATTGTTGATGTTATTTTGAATTTTAAATAAAATAATTCTATTTTCTTTCAGAACAAAAATGAACTAGAAAGATTTCATAACTTTTTTCCTCTGATGAAGGTGGTAACATTTATTACTATTGTTGGAATTTCAGCATTTACTAAGAACAACCATAAATTTGAATTAGGTTTGTTTTTATTTCACAACCGAAACAAGCATGGCAAAGGTTTCACTTTCTCACGATCTTGTTAACTTTTTTCTTGAGTAGGTAAGATTGGCGCATCACGAGTACCAAATGGACTTCATTGGCATATTAATCCCTCTATTCTTATATGATATCTGTACTAAAAATATTTTATTATTACATATTTTAACTATAATATAATTTATATGTTGTAAGTATTTATTTAAACTAAGTATTCTTTATCTAATTTACAATTTACCAAATAAAGTAATAAACTAGTCGTCTACCGTTCAATCAAACAAAAATAGTAGCATTAAATAACTCTCACTTTACACGTATTCTTATTTAAAAGAGCATAATTCCTTTTCATGAATGGTAGGTATGTATTGTACGAGAGTGTGAATATGAATTATTTATGACTCACGGGCCATCACATCATCGCATATCTGTCATCCGCATCATCATGTATGCAATGTGCATCTTCATTTCTCAAGTACCATTTTCATTATTTGCATTATTTGTCGTATTCTTCCCTCGTCAACCTGGTGGTACAATTCCCGATGCAAGCCCCAACTATATAACCCGAGGTAAAAAGAAAAAAAGAAAGCCCGAAAATATTTTAAAAAAGATAGAGATGTTAAACGAGCCAATTCAGCACGGAAGGGGTGAACATGGATCATGGAGCTGCTTCTAGTTTCTCTCTCTCATGAAACCCTAGCCTCTGTTTTTGTGTGTGCGTGTTTAGTATTATTACTTCTGTTCCACGCATCGAATTCGATTCTCTGCGATCTGAATCTGTGAAATCAATGTGCCTCTTTCGGAATCGCAGAGCGAGTAACGGTTCTGTCGTCGTTCACCGGTGACCGCCGTCATCAATGAAGTCATCGCGTTGGTGGCAGAGGACTCTGATCCTCGCTCTTCTCTCTATCTCTGTCGTTGCGCCGCTTGTCTTCGTGTATCACCGCGTCCATCTCACTCCCTACGGTAAAACAAAACTTATTCCTCTCTCAAGTGGATTTCTATGTTCCGCGTACTCTTTTTTAGTTTTAGTTGACCTTTTGCGTTTCTATTGCAGCGCGACGAGAGTTTCTAGAAGATATATCCAGTGTTGTAAGCATATTGCTTCTCAAGCTTGGTCATTTTATTTTATTGATTTGTTAATTTACTTGAATTGCTTTTATACCTTAAACCTGTTAGGTTGCGTAGAGAGAATACCAGTTAGATGGAATTTAGTGAAACATTTATTTCCTTCTGTTTTTTGTTCTCAGCGAATTTTTATTTATGGGTGAGTTGAAAAGTTTGCGGACCGATATTTAACTGGACCTTCTTGTGCTTTCAATAATTTTAATTATGTTTAAACTAATTTTTATTAGTTAATAATTTTAACTGGAAGTGTTTTATTTAATTTTTTAATGCTTCATCATCGACTCCAATTGAAATTCTACAGCTTCTGATGCTCTGTTGTGGAATGGGGGTTGATTATTATTTTTTTGTTTCTTGCAGACATACAGGACAGATCCTTTACAGCTAAATGCTATTGAACAGGTAATGGAAGGTTTTATTAGAATTTTCGCCATCGTATTTTAAGTTTCTCTCCTTCTGGTTTCCTCCATGAATTGGAGAATTGACTTTTCCTTGTTATTTTGGGCCTTTTTTGTGCAATACAGGAAGGTGCTGAAGAATTAGAAGAGCCAAAGGAAGTTGTTTATAAAGAAAAAGATTTTAGTTCAACAGATAGTTACATTCAACAAAAGATTAATGATTATGAGAAATCTAAAAGCGAAGGGTACAGAAATAACATTTTGGAAAGAAATGGTTGGTGTATGTTGGTACACTTTTGAATTTTTGCTGTTTACGTAATGCCCCCCAAATCTGAAAATTTTGCTGTTTTCAAGTTTCAGAATTCAACAAGGACAAAAGACAGGGTCAGAAAGCTCAGCAGAAAGGACCATTCTCCATGATTGGGAATAAGGTTGTGCTAATTCCTTTGAATTACTACAAGAAGGCGGCATGACTGATGCTTTTGTTGTAAAGTTTTTTTTTTTATTTTTCATAAAAAGATGCTTGAAGATTCTTTCCTTCTGTCTTCCTGGGAGTTGTAGTTCTCTCAAATTTCAGAAGATACTAAGATTCTTTTCATAATCTATATTTCTGTTAAGATCTACGTTTCTTAATAGTCATCTTACCATTTCAAATACAGCACTATAGATTTGTGATGAATGCGTGATTTGATTTTTTATTTAAAATTTGATTCAAATGCATTAGTATGGCAGGGAAATGAACCAAATTGATGTAAAAAAAATAAAAAAAAATTATCTGTTATATCACTTGTGTGCTTGTGGTTTTATTTCCAGGTTGCAACTTCTCTGACCATAATGTAAAAGGTGTTAATGATAAGAAGTTGGATTTTTGCTTGTTCATAGTGCACTTATTATGCTTTTTTTTTTTTTTTCCTATTCTAGATGAGAATACTGTTGCTGACCTTATAATCTGGTTAAAAGGTTATCGCATAGCCTCAGTTTTGGTTCCAATCTGAGATTGTAGTTGGATAGTTAACTTAATACCTCCGAATGCTAACCAGCTTTTTTTAACATTATCAAATGTCAATTCTTTTCCTAGAGACTGATTCCATCATTCTTTAATGCCTAGCAGGTGGGAAAGTTTGAACCACTTTTACAAATTAAATACTCATGAGGTTTTGTTGTGTACCTACCTTGAATTTTATGATTTATTCAAAGGATTGGGGGTTTTCTGGCTAGTTTTCTGAAGGGGTTAGTTTTACAATTGAAGCCCTTTAATCTTGTATTGAATTATCCAAGGTCTTGTTTGTTACACAGGTTATTGACCTATTCCATATCGAACACAAAATTTGAGTTTCTTTATTATGTTTTATATCTTCATTTATGGTGGCAACGGCAAACTTTACATTTTTATATACCTATTTGTGTTTGATTAATGTATAAATGCAAACTGGACTGTAGAGAAATTATTTTTACAGAGTTATTTTAATTTTTGAATTTTTTTTTTTTTTTTGCAGAATATATCTAATACAACAGTCACACATAATCTGAACATGCACACTCATTCTCAAAGAATGACAGATAATAATGTTGAAGTGACAGATACGCAATATATTCAAAGAGCAACCCAAAAGCGTCAGATTTCACATCGTCAGCCTCAGAAAGTGTCAAATCAGAAGGTTTGGGAAATTAAGGATCAAATTATTAGAGCCAGAGCATACTTGGGGTTTGCTTCACCAGGCAGAAGCTCGCACCTGGTGAAGGAGTTGAAGCTGAGAATTAAAGAGATGGAACGTGCAGTTGGAGAAGCTACTAAGGATTCTGATCTGTCAAGGAGGTACAATTTTCTTGTGACCCTACAATTTGAATTTAATTTGACAGCTATTTATTACCTGCACTTACTAAAATGTACAACTTTCAAGAGAAAACTAGTGCTTAGGTTCTTGAAAGATACCATTTTCTCATTTCTTTGCACAACTAATTTCATCAATTGATTCCCTGTATGTTTCAATTTGCTAATATTTGGCCCTTTCAATCTGCTTTGATTGAAGCAAATTAAATCTAAAATATTTCATCAGAAAAAAATATAAGTGGAGGGATTACATTAAGAAGCATGTTTTTTAAAGACCAAAACATAATATTTTTTGTTACAAGACCAAACTCAATCTTTGAAAATCATCCAACTGCTTGTTTACCAATATAAAAATGATGGAGAACATTTATTGTATCATTTTGATGTGATATGACTCTGTTAAAAGAAAATGAATGTTTTTTAATCTGAAAACAAGTGAAGTTCACAGTGCTTTGCAGAAAATGCGACACATGGAGGCTTCACTGTCTAAAGCCCATCGTGCTTTCCCAGACTGTGCTGCTATGGCAGCTAAGCTCCGTGCAATGAATCATAATGCTGAAGAGAATATTCGTTCTCAGCAACGTGAAGCAACATATCTTGTTCATCTTGCTGCAAGGACTACCCCAAGAGGTCTTCACTGTCTTTCTATGCAGCTGACATCTGATTACTTTGCCCTGAGACCTGAGGACCGGAAGCTTCCAAATGAGAACAAGATTAATGATCCAAAACTTCATCATTATGTTGTCTTCTCTGACAATGTTCTGGCATGTGAAGTAGTTGTGAACTCCACAGTCTCTAATGCCAAGGTAAGTGCATTTTTTTTTTTTAAATAGATTAACTTTTTATTTTTTGCCTTTTATTTGGGTGTTTCGCTTTTGGATAATGTTGAACTCTGATGTAACTGCTGAGAAAAAAACACTGATACTAGCAAATTCAATATTAACAAGCATAGCTATAATTTATATTCAATTTAGCAGTCCCTTAGTGGATACTTTGTGAACAGTTGATACCCCTCATTTCTCCTCCTTATCAGCCGAAATTTCCTGTCTATGGGAAATTGCAGCACCTGTGAACTACGCCATAATTGTTTTATACTCGAGGTTTTTCTTCGACTATTATATGGTAAAAGCCATTGAGGGTGGGGTGGCCATAGGACAGACAGTATGAATGCTTCATTCCGGCACCAATTTGATATCATTCTTATCCTTCCCAGAAGGAACTTTGATTTTCTAGTGAGGAGTTATTTATACTTATTAGTTTGTGAACACTTTATTGAACTGTTTAACTTGTAACTAACACGAGAGATGCAGTGTGAGAAGAAAGATATATGAGATCCTTTGGAAAGTTACTCATTCGCATGAGAATACAGTCTTGTGTACCCACATCAAACCCTGACACTTTATGTCGAGTTGAGGGCTGAATTCTTTCTATTTGAGAAGTACTAGCAATATACTATCACTTTACTATTGACTGAAATTTATTAGAAATCACAAAATCAAATCAAGTGGATGTCACACATTGTTTAGGGAACCTCACTGCTGATTTTGTAGTTTCCAAATACTTTAATCAATAGTAGAAAGTGTGTTAAAACAAGTGTTTATTCCTCTCTATTTATTAACAACATAATGATAAGGACATAAATTGATCCATGTAGTAGATTTCACCTAATAATACAAGGCTTGATTGTAATGTTATATTGGTTTATTGTGAGTTTGTTTCAAAAGTTCTTGTTATTGAATTTGAAGCTAATGGTTAAGTCTGTTTATTTAGTGACAAGAAAGTGTAACGATGACTTTTAAAATGCAGAAACAGGAAAAACTTGTTTTTCACGTAGTGACCAATTCACTCAACTTTCCTGCAATCTGGATGTGGTTCTTATTAAACCCTCCTGGCAAGGCCACACTCCACATACAAAGCATAGAGAACTTCAAATGGTTACCTAAGTACAATGCATTCAAAAATCATAATTCCAGTGATCCAAGATATACTTCAGAGTTGAACTACCTGCGTTTCTACCTCCCAGATATCTTCCCTACCTTAAATAAGGTTCTGCTCTTTGATCATGACGTGGTGGTGCAACAAGATCTCAGTAGACTATGGAATGTCAATATGAAAGGGAAAGTAATTGCAGCAGTTGGCACTTGTCAGGAGGGTGGAACTTCATTTCATCGGATGGATATGTTCATAAACTTCTCAGATCCATTCATAGCAAATAGGTTTGATGTCAATGCTTGCACGTGGGCATTTGGGATGAACTTGTTTGATTTACAACAGTGGAGGAGACAAAATTTAACTGCTCTCTATCACAGATATTTGCAAATGGTATGTTTAAAGAGATGTCTTGATTTTGTTGTACACTTCTTTTTTCTCTCTGTTCAGAGAGTCTGCAAGTTATTCTCCTCTTCCACAGAAAATTGTTCTACATTTAAATTTCTTCAAATTGTGAGTTTGGCTGCTAGCATTGATATGATATACGAGCTCCCTTGAAATTGGATTTGCATTCATAGTATAGAATTTATATTTTTTATTCAAGAACAACATTTTCACTTTTCTAATTTCAATGGTTGAATCTAATGAGGAAATGTGTCAAAGTTCTTGCTTAATCTGCAGTTAGATGGAAGACAATTTTTTTTTTCTATTAAATTCTGATGCAAGGATAATTTGATGTGTTTTCTATGTTGTTAATTATAGGGTTCCAAGAGGCCATTGTTGAACACCGGAAGTCTGCCTTTAGGCTGGCTGACCTTCTATAACAAGACTATGATTTTGGACAGACGGTGGCAGATTCTTGGCCTTGGTTATGACTCAGATGTTGATAAAAACCAGATTGAGCGGGCTGCGGTTATACACTTTGATGGAATAAGGAAACCGTGGTTAGACATTGCATTGGGAAGATATAAAAGTTACTGGACCAAATTTATTAACTTTGACAAACCTATTTTGCAACGATGCAATCTCCAGGCGTAGCCCAAAATTTAAATATTACCTTTCATACCTGGCAGGCTTTATTTGAGTAATTTGCTTGCACATTAATTGCCAGTTTCAATCGATTCTTTATTGTTCTTGGTGATTCTTCTTGTAAAGGCCTTCATAGCTGCATAGAATTCACGACATATATTTTTTTAAAAGCTTAGCTAATTTGTAGGGACATTGAGATGAATAAGATTCGCGTAGGCATTTTAGCTTCTTTGATATGTTATCTGGTGTTTCTGTACATAATTCGTTCCCATGTTCCGTTAGATCTTGCTGCCGCAGTTTACTGTCGATTTACGTCAATTACGCGTGGACTGCAAGTTCAAGTTAAATTTTACGTTCAGGAACTAATTTGAATTGTAACGTGTTACTTTGTCATGTGCTCATTTTTTCTGTTATGAAGCTAGAAGCCATGATTCAAGTTTTATGCGTGTAATGTTCACGTCTTCTGACATCCCTGCCTCGAATGTTATAATAATATCTTTATCCTTATTATCCATGAGGATGTGATATGGGGTCCTAAAACATTTACCATGTAAGTATTGAAGTGTAAGTTTTTCCCTACATAGTTAATTTTTTTTGTGGCATTCTAATTTTTTTGTTTAAATCATGCATCTTTTTAAAATAAGCTGAAAATAACTTATAAATGTTTTCAGTTTTTTTTTTAAATACTTGCATAAACGAGTGCCATAAGATAAACTCAAATGTTCGAACAAGATATTTTAATTAGTACGTTTTTGTTACGGGTTAGAGACGGGCGTAAAAGCAATTCCCACTGAATCTTCCATTGAGTATAAAACAAGGGGACTCCGAACAGATTATGTGACACGTGGAGAAAAATTATTGGGATTTTGCAGATATGGATATCAAACGTCGGGATTTCATCCTATCCATGGTGTGTGGTGTATGGACCGACACTGCACCACCAATAACAATTTTGAAATATTTTCTAATGCAAATGAAATAAACTGCAACTGTGACAAAAGTTGCGTAGCCATACTCTGATTCATCACTCAAGAAAAATGGCAACTATCATCGCCGGCATCCCAACAACATCGATCTCTCGCGCAGGTCTCGTACTGAAGCGACCTTCTGGGATCTCGTCCTCTACCGTTCATGGTAAGTTCTTTCCATGATAATCATATTCAAGTCTTTCCCTTTAGGAAGATGATAATATATAGGATTCCTTTCAGAATAAAAGTACAATTAATTATTCTGTTTCTAATCCTCATTTCCTTGTAATAACAACGTTGGGAACACAACAATTTCAGAGTTCTCATATTTAACCTTTAAACCGATAATTACGTTTAGATTATGCTGATTAATGACCAACAACCTTTTCTTACAATAACTAACTTAGCATCATTCATACATGGGAAACATAATTGTATAGGATTGCCAGCAATGGGTAGGGTAGGGAAAGTGAGATGCTCCATGGAGGAAAAACCGTCCGTGCAGGAAAGCAATTCAAATGTGGGAATGGGAGCATCCTTGTTAGCAGCTGCATGCGCCGCAACCATGTCAAGCCCGGCCATGGCTTTGGTGGATGAGAGACTGAGCACTGAAGGGACTGGGCTTCCCTTTGGGCTTAGCAATAACCTTCTTGGATGGATCATCTTCGGTGTCTTTGGTCTTATATGGGCACTCTTCTTTGTCTACACTTCCACTCTTGAAGAGGATGAAGAGTCTGGATTGTCCCTCTAAACCCCTGTTCATTATATGCATTGTATAAATTCCAAACACTTATCTCCTACTCTGTTCTGTTTTATTAAAAACCTACTTGTGTATCCAACCTCAATCTTCCATGTTATTGTTTTCACTTAGCTTATTCTACACATGCCTTTTGTTTTTTAAGGTTGCCTGTGGTGACTACATATGAAAGATTCAGTGCTTTGTCTATTATCATTCTTAGATGACTACATGGATCATTTATATATATGTATTTAGCGAATCATGTAAACATCTAATTAATCCTGACAATGAATGAAAGTATTGTTATATTAAGTGTATAAATAAAATGAAAGTGTGACGCTAAATGTGTCTGGACATAGAATTTAGTATTCAGCTCAATTAGAATTTACATTGAAAGTTCACCTCCAGTCATTTGCTTGTCATTCACCATTTTTCTAGATTTAATTGTTCTGAAAATCACTTCATGGAGGTGGATCAAAGGTAATGTAGAAGATTTTCAGTGTCCAATATTGGGCTAGAGGATGATGAGTGCGTCGATGTCATAAGGGGTGTTTCTTTGTACTCAGAAATTTCTACTAACACGCCTTTTCATTCTGCCAACTAACACCCCTTAAAGGCCGAAATCAATTATTAATCTAAGATTTATATAATTGCTTGACTTATCTTTGTCCTCTGTTATTAAATTTACTTAAATAACTCACTTTTGTCTCCTCCTATTTAATTTTTTGCTTATAATATTTTGATTGAATAACATAAGATAATGAAGTTATCTAAGTAAACTTAATAACAATTTTAAAACAGAAAAGAAACTACATTTAAATATGAAAAATTCCAATTTTGTATAGGGAGTTTAAGAGTATGTATGGTTTAATTTTGTTTATTATTAAAAATAATTTCAAAGATAAGTTTAGAAAACTTTTTTTGAAAATAAATTAAAAAATATATATTTGATAATTTTATTTTAAAAAAATATTTTAGACGGAAAAGAATGTCTATCATGAAACATAAATACAATTTTTTTTATGATTTTATAATGAAATAACTATAAAATGATTTTAATGTAACTATAAGTAAAATATTTAATATTTATTCATGAATTAAAAAAACTTTTTATCAATTCGTGTTTTTCAGTTTTGAAAAAATAAACCCTAAAAATATCTAATAGGTTCAATGACATTATGTTATCTCAATGCCACAAGGAGTACAAATTTATTTGTCTAATGAAAAAAAAACATGAAGCGAATTACACATGCTAATGTTATGCATTTTCAATCCTTGAGAATTTATTTTTTCAATGTTATATATTATCGTTTTTTTTTCATTATATATTACGTATTTGTAATTGTTTTTAACATAAACATTAAAATAAGTTACCATTCAAATTTTGATTCCTATAAATAAAAAAATTGTTTGAAATAAAAAAATAAAAACACTTAATTAACTGGAAATAAAAAATGAGTTTCTTAATCTCTTCTATCATTGGAACAACTTTTCACATTACTAGAATTTTGGGAAGGACATGAAAATGGAAACCATAAAAAATTATATAATATTATCTAAGATAACCACGTGGCCTTAGGATACCAAACACTAGATATTTTCTTGTCGGTTCATGATATTTTTACACCCTTAACAACAAACAACTCAAAATTCAACTCACTTTATTAATATAATTTATTAATATAATAATGATGAAAGAGATTAAATAAAAATGAAGAAAAGTTTATGAAAAATAAAAGGCTAATCAACTACTTTTGAACTAACGGTGTGTTTGGAGCAACGAAGCCAAATTCATATTCTCACGTACTTGTCTTTGATGGATTGATTGATTTGTTGGAAGAAGGGAGAGCTAGTTCCTGGAGATGGGGATCGATGTCTTGATGGGGATCTTGAGATAAGGGACGCTCAGGCAGCACCCACACTCCATCTTCAGTCTTGATCATGCCCTTGTTCAGGTCTTGCCTCCACCGCGGTGGCACCGAATGCTCATCTTTCAAGAAGTCACAGTCCTTGTTCACCAAAGCCAGGTCCCTCTCACTCGTTCTCTCAAATCCTCCATTCTTTCCATGGTATCTGCGCATAATCAAACTTTCTAATTTCGCATGCGTCTTTATGTTTATCTCTGGTTAACATTCCACTCATCATAATTCTTACCATCTTCTTCATCGTATAAGACTCTAGCTCAATGCTATTTCTCGATATATAAATAATAATATATTTAAAATTATATTTTTACATATAAAAAAAATATTTATAATAGTAATTCCATAGAATTATGATCTTTGGAAACGTGATTCTCGATAACCATGATGCCATAACGGAAAAGTCTAACCCGCCATCCACTGAGGGATTGGAATGGTGGAAGGATAAGGGAGAAATAAATAAATACACGAATTGCCATATTAAAAAAATATGAATTAATTTAATTTTATAAGTTTGATTTTTGTAAAATAGTATAAAGAAAATATAGTTTTTATGCTAAATAAAATAGTAGGATGATGGAGACAAATAAATATATATTTTAATAAATTACTCTTATTATAATTTATTTTGTCTTTTGAAGTAATGAAGAAGCATATCCGTAACTCAAATATCATACGTGTTAACATATTAAGCATAAAACATCAATGGCGACATGCAACAGTGCTTTTATTTCCTAGCTGTCATGATTTATTCAACCTAACTGCTATATTTCTCAGTAAAAACATGTTTTCTATCCATTGGTTGAAGTAAGTTTTCAAAAAAAGGTTGTTGAAATGAAGAATGAAGAATGAAGAAGATAATGGAAGTAACAAAAGAACTCACCCATCGAGCAAGTGCAGGTGAGCCTCCAAGTTATGCGCGCAGGAAGCATCCCCATTAGGGTTCAAGAAAGGCGATTTCTTATGATCCAACTCCAACTCCACCCCAACGTGCAAATAACACCAGGGCAACCACTCCACCAGCTTCACCACCCATGGCGGCGACCCCTCGTTGAAGAAGAACCCCGGCGACTGCGGGACCATGTCATGCTTATTATGCACCCTCAGCACCTTTATCCCCAACTCCCCCTCCAACCTCTTCTTGAACCTTACATTCCCCACCCTCGGCCCCGAAAACGAAAACACAGACACATGCGCTTTTCTCCCACCCTTTCCCACGCTCACCCCACTTTCCACAATATCAAAAGCACTCAGTATCGCCATTGCACTCCCTAGACTATGTCCCGTTATCGTAATACTCACCTCTTCATCCGAATAAACCTCCATCAACCGCTTCACCTCCCCGAGAACCTGTTCCCTCGCCGAGTACTTACAATACCCACACTCCGTTTCCTTGTCCGTGTACAGATCTAAGAAACCAGCTTCCACCTTTACGCCCTTGTCGGAACAGGGTATGTCCGGGGAGATCGGTTTCAGGAAATTCATGAGGTCGGTCACCCACTCCACGTGCGTCACGGTCCCTCGCCACGAGATCGTGATGTCCCTCCGCCCCAGACGCCTGCTTGTCTCATCGTCCGACACCGCGATGAAGCCAGCCCAGTTCGCATGCTTGCTCCACATCCGGTGGGGCCACCTCGACTTGCGGAAGAAGTTTGGGAGGTTGATGTTCGCCGTCGCGTAGAGGTAACGAGTCATGGTGTATCCCACCTGCGCCATGTCCAGGGATTCGAAGAATTCAGGTAAGGGGAACCTGCAGCTGCCGCAGTATTTGGAGTAGGGGTCGAAGTCGAAGGCGTCGTAGCAGGCCTGGGCCATCTCACCGTAGCGGGTAAGCTCGGCCCTCATTACAGGGTCCATGGGCTCAAGAAGCCCGGCCCAGTTGTCCTCCCCGTGGATCTTGCGCCAGACCTCCGCCACGGGCTTTTGTGTCTTCTCTTGTTCTTCTTGTTTCTGAGTGGCGTCTACAGTAGATGACAGCGTAGCATTGCATGTAATATTGGTTGTGTAATTTTTGAAACTTTCCCTGTGTTTGAGTTTGGTTGTGGTTAGAATGTTTTGTGATAAGGATGCTTTGGATGGATTGCATAAGAAGGTGCGGGTTTGGTTCTTTTGGGGCAAACTGAAGAGAATGGTTGCGATGGATGAAGCCATGTCTTAGTTAAGCTGGAGATGGAAAGGGTGGTGCTTGAAGATTGAGACTGTAGGTGTATATTTATAGTTCTTTTATGCAGTTTAGGACAAAAGGGAAATGTCACCTTCCGTGTGAACTTGAGACTCTGTTTCATAAACACAGAACGTGATGATATGGAGCCATATCTATCGTCAATAATTTCATCTGTTAAACCACAGTGTTTGGTTTTACTTCATAAACAACAATACATGAGACTATATACATAATACATATATAACTGGTCTTTTAGAAAGGAAAACCGTGAATGTCAAAATAAATATAAGGAAAATGATAATTTCTCAACCCAAATCCATATCACTCCTATAAACATCTCTCTTTTAATATTATAATAATAATTTTGCTTTATTTTTATTTTTATTCAATCATTTTATAGATTATTATATTAATAAAAGTGAGTTGTTTAAAGGATTGTATGGTTTTTGGTTGTCAAAATATCACCACTCAATAAATAATACATGAGAATAACATGTAACAGATAGGAAGCTATGTTTCCTAAAACAATTATATTAATAAAAGATATAAGAAATGACTATTTTTTATAGTGATTTATATATGTTTTCATTATGACTTAAAAACGAAAGGATGAGACTATATACATATATAACTAAAGTTTACTAATTATATTTTACACAAAATCCCAAATATAATTTTTGTCCACAAATATTCATTCTGTTAATATTGTCATAAAGTTGGATAAAAAAATATATTTTAATTTTACAAAATAAACTATAAAATAAAATATTTATACAAGACTATTTTATTGAATTTACAAAAACATAACAAATATTTTATAAGAATACATCACCACTGCTTTTTACCACTGTCAAATTTTTTAAACATAATTAAAAAATTAGATAAATTTAAAATTAAAAAAATCTATAACATAATATTTTATGATTTTTAGTTAAAATTTCTATTATATTCTATAATTGGATTATGAGAATTTTCTATTCATTAACCTCCTAATAATTCGCAGCACTTACTAACGTGATTTGAAATTATTTAAACAATTTTATTTTCATAAAATACACATTAATTATTTAAACAATTTTATCTTCATAAAATACACATTATATACCATTGAAGCTGTAAGAAAGAAAAGTGTAATATATTGGACGGAGGCACTTTTAACACTTAGCTAAGGGAATGCTATTATCTTCCAAATTAAATAAAGTTAAAGAAGTTAAGTAACCTTAAAAAGTTAGGTTGGAAGTGACAACACATCATCATCTACACACCCAAAAATTGATTCCACGTTTAAAACAACAATTTCACAAATCAAACATTCACACTTCAGCTGTTATTTTGTTTTCAACCCAAAATTAATTTGTACGAAAATTTCTAAACTAAAAGATACTGAAATGTCGGAAGAGAAAACTAGATAACGAGATTGGCATGAAGCCTCTGGAACTTATATCATTATATTTATATTATAATGTATGCATGCTTCACGTGGGTAATTTATAATAATAAAATCTATAACATAAAGTTAGCATACACCAACACTTCATCAAATTTCACTGTATTAACCTAACTCTTCTTGAAATATTATCTCCATCACACATGTTAGGGCAATGCAGACATATTAATAAATAATTAAATATATAACTTTGGCTAAGTATTTTTTTATCTCTGTATTTATAACAAATAATCAATTTGATTTATGCCTTCTATAGTTTATTTAATTTTGTCTCTATATTATTAGGGAAGAGATTACTTGATGCTATGTTCAAAACCGAAGAAAATAATTATCATAAGAAACAAAATTGAATTAGTTATGTAAAAATAAGAAATAAAAAAGCAAATTGACCTTTTTAACACTTAGTTTATTTAATATTTATTTTTTTATATTAAAATTAAAATAATGATAATAATAAGTGTAAAAAATAAAAGAATAAAACAGTAACAAGTAATAAAAATTTACTGTGTTTGATTTTAAATAAATATTGAAAGGATAAAATTATTTTCTTTAATATTTAACTACCACAATAATTTCAATTAGATTAAAGACGTATTTAAATATCGATAAGATTAAACACAAGATTAGTTTTATTTAAATTAGTAAAAATATATTCGTCAACGTCTTTATGAATTTGAATTTTTTATAATTACCGAAATATATACTGTATTACATACATTTTTATTTATTTTTTCTAAATGTATTAATTATAAATATTACTGAGAATACCTGAATCTGTGTTCTAATGAAAGAAGTCTTAAATTTAAAATCATTTAAAATTAGTTTTTAACAATATTATAAAATAAATAAAATAAAATAGTCGTCTTATTGAAAATCAAAATAAAAGATACCTTATTATAAAAAAAATTTATGAAAAACCATTATGAATTAAAAAAGTAAACAATAATATAAAAAATGATAATTTATATTCTTTTAAGTTTATGCGTCCATAAGGCGTGACGTTATCCGGGTCAAGATAGCGTTATCGCAACTAACGTGTCTCTCGTATTATCTCAGACCTATTTAATGAGATACATGCACAATAAAAAAATATTTTATTATATGAAATAAAACAGTTAAGTTATGGAATGAAGTACGTGTGTGTGCATTTCATTTTTAAGTACCGTGTCAATGGGTTACCCAAAAAGTTATACTCGTAAAAATATCTTACAACAAATTTTGTATTTTTCTATTTTATCACACTACTCCATCATTTTATTCATAATTTTTATTGAAACTTTTCTTTTGTAAAATATTTAATATTTAAATAAAGAGTATTTATGTTGCTCTTTCGAAATGCATAAATAGTTCTTAAAAGAAAATTTCAGAATGGTAAATTTCCATAAATTATTATCATTGCGTTAATAATTTCGTTAAAGAAAGACACTTTAATGATTAGTAAACTCTCTTTTTTTTTCTTTCTGTTTTATTCAAAATTTATTGATTAAAATAAAAGGATTGGGAGATTTTTAGCGCAAAAAAATATGTTTCATTTGATTCTTGGTAACATGTCCAAACCTACGAATTAGGTGTATAGAAATTCTAAAATGTGAAAAACAAATTTAAATGTTATTTTTTCATTAAAAAAATACATAATTATATAAAGTCGTTACGGTATATTAGACAATGAAAAAAAAATCACATTTACATATCTAGGTGTGATTCTAAAATCATGAAACTAATTGATTTATTCACCCTAATAAAAATAAATAGGAATAAAACAATGCAAATCAAACATTCTCTCCCTTAAATTAATATTTTTATAGTAGTCAAATTTTACAACTTCTAGTACTTCTCCAAATTTAGTGATTTTGTCATGATAAGTGATCATAAGAGTTACGAAAATTGAGTTAGATTTCTTTATTATTAACTAAATCTCGAAGAAAGTGAAATCTCACATCAATGTGTTTTTTTCGTGAAACTCTGAATACTTGGACAGTTGTATAGCAAAATTGTTATCACACATAATTTCAACTTCAATTTCACCTTTAATTCCAACTCCAATATACTTAAGTATTATTCCAAGTTAAATACTTTAGCAAGCACAAAGAGTTGTTATCATGTATTTAGTCTCAATTGTAGATAATGTAATCATGGATTGTTTATTCGAAGACCAAGATACTTTTCCTTTTTCCAACATAAATACAAAATCAACACATGCTTCTTCGATCATCTAAAGCACTAGCATAATCATTGTCGGTAAAGGCTAGTAGTTTTAGATTATCAATACCTTTCTTGTACCAAATCCCAAAATGTATCGTGTCTTTCACATATCTTAAAATTCTTTTGTAGCAAGCCAAGGTATTTTGGTGAGACCGGTCATGAACCTGCTTATCAAACTCATTGTATACATCAAATCAGACCTTGTAACAGTTAAATGCATCAAGTTGCCAACTACCTACTTATATAGTGTTTCTTCAACTCTCATCCCTTTTGTTCCTGTCAACAATTTTTTCCCTAGAACCATTGGATTTTTCACTGCATTACTGTCTAACATTCCAAATCAAGATAGTACCTTCCGTGCATATCTTCTTTGGCAGATAAATATGTCATTGGAGCTCTGTTAAACTTCAATGCAGAGAAAATAACTCATCCTGCCCAAACCAGTCATAACAAACTGCAACATCATAGAATGTTTAAAAATGTCACACATGATTCTTTCATTGCTAGTGAATATTAAGTCATCCACATAAAGATTGATTATTAGGATTTTAGTGCCCTGTGACTTGGTGAATAATGTGTGTTCATTATAACACTTTTCAAATTGTTCTTGTGCAAATTAGGTTTCAATCTTGTTATACCAGGCCTATGGTGCCTATTTAAGGTCACATAACGCCTTATTTAACGGATAAATCTTCTCCGCTTCTCCCTTTTTCATGAAACCTTCTGGTTGCTAGACATATACAACTTCTTTTAGCTCCCCATGTAGGAAGATACTTTTCACATCCACTTAAAACACTTCCTAACTGTATTGAGCAGTTGTGGCCAATATTACTCGAATCGTGACAAGCCGAGCCACTGGTGTAAAAACATCAGTATAATCAAAGTTGAGAATTCAAGTGTGATTTTGAAGTCCCATATTGAGAAAGTTGAGTAACTTATAAGTGAGAAAGACTCATATGACCTAATGTCTTGAGGTTTTGGGTTGAGAGTGGTGTCATATTTTCTTATATGGTTGGCTTGGGTTCCATTTGTGAGAATCTCCCTATTGTTAACCCCCTTGAAAAGACCCATAGGTGTTATTAGAGCTGATGACTTATTCAGTGACCTGCTCAGTTAGTATGATTATAATAGGTGAAATGTCCTTGTGTCGAAAGTCTTTCTAACAAGAATTTTAGGCAAGTGAGTTCCGTTAAGTTGAACGATGATACAAGTAAGATCATTACTAAATACTCATGGTTAAGAAGCTTAAGGGGGAGGTATACCAATGTGAAAGGAAATCACACTTGAGGGGGAGATGTCGAGAATTCAAGTGTGAGTTTGAAATCCCACATTGGGTAG